AAAGATACATTCTTCAAGAAACTTCCTTTGCATTCACAGCTTGTGCGGCAAAGCCTCGCTCTTCAACCTATGTTGGCTTTTTCTAGCATGCCTTCCCAGAAGGCTTAACTCATTTCTAGCTTTTGATTTAAGTGACGATGTGCTACGGTTCCTTCACTTGGACACTAGAAGACCATTGTAGGGTTTAACTAATGGATAGTTCAATATTATTGTGTTCTCAGGGAATAGTGAGCCTGGAGGAGAAGGAGAGAGAGGGGAATAGCCAGAAGCACACAGCATGTTGTTAAGTTTCTGTCTTGGCAACCTGGAAAACTTAAATACTAATAGCAGCAGATCACAGCGTCACGCATAACAGAATACAATCATAATTAAGAATTTAACCTATTATAGAATTACCAAAATGTGACCATAGAGAGAAAGCAGCACATGCTGTTGGAAAAATGGCATGGCTGATTTGTCACACAGATTCCAGAAACCATCAGTTTGTTACGAAAAGATTATATACTCAAAGTGCAGTAAACCAAATAACAAGAAAGTGTAGTCATCCATGTATTTCTTAAATGTACCCAAGATACTCATGATCTGTAGTTGTCCCAGTATCTGCTGAGGATTGGTCCCAGGACATTCTACGGGGAATACCAAATCTCGAGGATGGCTCAATCCCTTGTTGAAATGGTTACTATATGTTTATAACCTTACATGCATCCTCTATATATTACTTTAAATCACTCCTAGATTTACCCTATAATACCTACTGTAATGTAAATGCGTGTTAAATGGTTATTGTATATGTTTAGGGATAAGACAAAAAAAACATTTTTGATGTTCAGTACAGATGAATTTTTTAAAAATATTTCAGGCCGGGTGCAGTGGCTCACGCCGTAATCTAGCACTTCTGGAGGACTGAGGTGGCGATCTGCTTGAGGTCAGGAGTTCGAAAACCCACCCTGACAAAGCGAGACCCGCCTCTACATAAATATACACTAAAATTAATTGGCCAAAATATATATGTAGAAAAATTAGCTGGGCATGGTGGCACATGCCTGTAGTCCAGCTACTCGGAGGCTGAGGCAGCAGGATTGCTTGAGCCAGGAGTTTGAGGTTGCTGTGAGCTAGGCTGAGCCACGGCACTCACTCTAGCCTGGACAACAAAGCGAGACTCTGTCTCAAAAAAAAAAAAAAAAATATTTTCAATCCCAGGTTTGTTGAATTCATAGATATGGAACTCAGAGATATGGAGAGCCAACTTTGTCAGTGCTTGGTGTGAAAATTCTTATGCCTAAATTCTCAGTTTTTGCAAATTTAAATCTGCAAGATTTTCAGCTACGGTTTTAGATAACTTTCAAAAGGAAAGGAATTCCTTTTTTGGGAGGGGATAGAAATATATCTAGAGATGTCAGTATTTTATCAACTATAAAATGTTACATGACTGTAACTAGATTATCTTGATTAGTGATACTAGAATATGAAACTATTTGAAGTTTATTTGTAAGATAACATTATACAACCATATATATTTGTGTAAATACCATATTTCATTAAGTACAAAGGTAATCAAAATGATAAATTGAGGACAGACACAAAATTCATGACGTGTCTTGTTCTGCTTGCTTTTTTGGTGACATACACACATGCTTCTGTATGCTTAGCTAAAATAGAGGTCTTTACCCATGATTCATAGCTTATATAATTGTAGGGTTTTAGAAACTTAACTCTTTTAACTTGTACTGGGGACTTTGCTTTTCAGGGAAGATGTGCCTCCTCCAAAGAGCCGCACATCCACTGCCAGAAGCTACATAGGCAGCAACCATTCATCCCTGGGATCCATGTCTCCTTCCAACATGGAAGGATACCCAAGACTCAGTATAACACAGTACCGAGTGAAGACTTTGAACATGCTCCTCAGAGTCCGATTCTCCCACCTGCAAAGGTAGCTGCCCCTAATCTAAGTCGAATGGGAGCGGTTCCTGTGATGATTCCAGCACAGAGCAAGGATGGGTCTATAGTGTAGATACTGCGTGCTTCTCATCTATGCTCTCCATGTTTCTTTCCTCTTGATACATGAAAACGTATTCTGGTCTAAATTTTGTTACTAACCTCAAAATATATCAAAAAGAAGTTGATCAGAAACTGTAAGCAATATACTTCAAAAAAATTTTGTTTGGTTATATTGAAACAGTAAAACGCATTAAAGTTAGTAAAGACAAATTCAGGGGTTGATTTTCACAGTTTCTAAATAACTACAATAAGATGTAGCACTTTGAATATCAAATCATAGCCGAAGAAACCAGTGAACTGAATGTATACCAAGTTGATATTGAATCACGTGAAAGTGATACTTTATAATTTCTACCATTATTTTTAGGATGTATATATCATTTATTTATGGCCTGACAGTCTCCTCCAAATTAGTAAATGGCAGAATTACTTACGTATGTACGTTTGTACTTGTTTTTATAGCTTCTTTGAAAACTCTACATGTGTTTGGAGTATCTCTAATAACTTAGAAAACACCATGTTTTAGAAATTGCTAGTTTTATTTTTAATCATTCATACACTTTCTCTATAAAATGATTTCTTAAAGATTTAGTTGATAGACTGCTACGCAGAAACAGGGACATAGTAAGGTCTTATATGCTAAAGTAAAGGAGTACCTATCAGATTGAGTTTAGAATATATATGCTGTCAGCTACTTACAGATATGACACTAATGGTGCATTGTGAGGATAGATTTTGTCGGCTAATGATCTCATGCCTTGAGGTCTGTGGTGGTCTTCCAAATAGTAACTGGCCAGATCAAGGATGTAGTGTTTCATAGTCCCCAACTAACCACTAGCTCTCCACCTGTAGGGATATTTTTCTAATAAAATATACACACCCATTGATTAACTCCTGGGCTCAGGTGATCCTCCTGCCTCAGCCTCCCAATTAGCTGGGACTACAGGCATGTGCCACCATGCCCGGCTCATTTTTTCTATTTTTTACTAGTGATGGCGTCTCGCTGTTGCTCAGGCTAGTCTCAAACTCCTGAGCCAGCCTCGCCCTCTCAGAGTGCTAGGATTATAGGCATGAGCCACTGTGCCTGGCCAGAGAGGGGGTCTTGTTTTGTTGCTCAAGCTGGTCTAGAACTCATGGGCTCAAGGGAGCCTCCTAGTTTAGCCTTCCAAGTAGCTAGGACTACAGGCATGTGCCACCGCAACCAGCTACATTTTGATGTATGTTCTTTCAATCTTTTTCATCATGGATGTTTAAATGTTGCCAGGCAGGGTGGCACAGCTAGTGGGGAGGCTGAGGCCAGAGGATTGTTTGAGCCCAGGAGTTCCAGGCCATAGTGAGCTATAATTGCCTATGTGAATAGCCACTGTACTCCAGCCTGAGTGGCACAGTGAAACTCTAAAAAGAAAAAAAAAACCCTACTAGAGAGTAATGGCATAAAAAGAAAACAAAACCATAAAACAACAGAACAAAACATATAAGAGATACCACTTCATATTCATTGGGATAGCTATTTAAAAAAAACCCCAAAATGAAACAAGTATGAGTAAGATTTGGAACTCATTTTTTTTTTTAAGAAATTGGGGCTGATGGTGCTCATTGGTCTTATCCTCTTTTGTTGTCATAAAAAGCGAAGAGAAGAAAAATATGAAAAGGAAGTTCATCATGATATCAGGGAAGATGTGCCTCCTCCAAAGAGCCGCACATCCACTGCCAGAAGCTACATAGGCAGCAACCATTCATCCCTGGGATCCATGTCTCCTTCCAACATGGAAGGATATCCCAAGACTCAGTATAACCAAGTACCGAGTGAAGACTTTGAACATGCTCCTCAGAGTCCGATTCTCCCACCTGCAAAGGTAGCTGCCCCTAATCTAAGTCGAATGGGAGCGGTTCCTGTGATGATTCCAGCACAGAGCAAGGATGGGTCTATAGTGTAGATACTGCGTGCTTCTCATCTATGCTCTCCATGTTTCTTTCCTCTTGATACATGAAAACGTATTCTGGTCTAAATTTTGTTACTAACCTCAAAATATATCAAAAAGAAGTTGATCAGAAACTGTAAGCAATATACTTCAAAAAAATTTTGTTTGGTTATATTGAAACAGTAAAAGCATTAAAGTTAGTAAAGACAAATTCAGGGGTTGATTTTCACAGTTTCTAAATAACAATACCTACATAAGATGTAGCACTTTGAATATCAAATCATAGCCGAAGAAACCAGTGAACTGACATGTATACCAAGTTGATACTTGAATCACGTGAAAGTGATACTTTATAATTTCTACCATTATTTTTAGGATGTATATATCATTTATTTATGGCCTGACAGTCTCCTCCAAATTAGTAAATGGCAGAATTACTTACGTATGTATGTTTGTACTTGTTTTTATAGCTTCTTTGAAAACTCTACATGTGTTTGGAGTATCTCTAATAACTTAGAAAACACCATGTTTTAGAAATTGCTAGTTTTATTTTTAAATCATTCATACACTTTCTCTATAAAATGATTTCTTAAAGATTTAGTTGATAGACTGCTACAGGAAACAGGGACATAGTAAGGTCTTATATGCTAAAGTAAAGGAGTACCTATCAGATTGAGTTAGAATATATGCTGTCAGCTACTTACAGATATGACACTAATGGTGCAATTGTGAGGATAGATTTTGTCGGCTAATGATCTCATGCCTTGAGGTCTGTGGTGGTCTTCCAAATAGTAACTGGCCAGATCAAGGATGTAGTGTTTCATAGTCCCCAACTAACCACTAGCTCTCCACTGTAGGGGATATTTTTCTAATAAAATATTACAACCCATTGATTATTTGGCAATTATATATTGAAATGTTCTAATTATTGATTCTAAATTTTAAGTGTTTTTTCTGGTACAGTGGTTTTTTTCTGTTTTTTTTTATTTTTTCTTTTTTGGTCATTTTGTTTTGTTTTTTTGAATGGTGTTATATATTATACATTCTAGAAACATGTAATCCTAAATTTACCCGCTTGAATGCAGTTCCTGGAGGATATTGTCTTCATAGGCTCAGAATGATCAAATACATTTTAAGCAAGTGAGTGTCCTCTGCCAATTCTGTCTTCCAGACTTGGGGGATCTACAGTTGTGGTGTGGCCAAACTTGTGCAGTTCCAGTAAATCAAGTTGAGCTTTGAAAAAGTTTGAGTCTTAGTTTTCTGAAAGTGATTATTCTTTAAAGAAAAAAAGAAAGAAAGAAAAAGGAGTAAAGGGAATACTCCTACCTGCCAAATGTGTTAAATACTGTTTTGGAAGAAAGTGGATTTATTATATTTCCCTTTTAAGACTGTGAGGGAATGTGGATAAGGAGAATGAGTCAATAGTTTCTTTATAGTAAATAAGGTCTACAATAAATTATTTCACTAGCTCTAAAACCTTTTCCCTAGATTTTAGTAGGGAGTTGGTTTCTGTTAAACTATTTGGGTGCTGTGGTGGTAAATGCTACATTATAAATTAATGTTGGCATGTATTTACAATTAGGCAGAGTATTGTGTACACTTTTTAATGGTAAACTTAAGCTGAATGTCTGTGTAATGGATTAGTGTATAGTTTTACATATTTGGAAGCATTTTTAAAATAGGTTTTTAACCTTACATAAAATTACTTTTGTACTTGTGTTAACATTTTCATCTGTGCCTTTTGGGTAATTTAATTTCTATCATGAATTTCTGGTGCCTATGAGCTGTTGACACCTACTTGAAAGGTGCTTAGAGGTGAAGGTACTGTTACTAAAAACACATCACTGTGACACCTTTCTATCCTTGTATTTTCAGACTTGCCTCCTCTTCTCTGTTCTTCATGGATGTAACTTAAACAATTGTGTTATTCATAACGATTTAAAAACGTCAACATCCCCCAACACTCTTTGACTGTGTTTCAAGTTTTATAACAGTAGCTATTTTTGATTGCCAAATGTTTGGCCTATTTTATATGAATAAAATCTATTTATAAAATATTATGATAAACAGAACATGAGCTTTAATAATAAAGTATTGGTCATTCCTATTCCTGATTTTCATATAGTGAAGATTATGCTATCAATCTAAGTAGAAATTACCATAGAAAGTAGATGTGTAAAATACTTTCATTCCTTTACACTTCATATTTATCTAGGATTTTGCTATAAGTAAATCAAAATCTTTCAGAAAGGCTTTCAGTTATGATCCATACGAACTACAGTCTGAGAAACAAGCTTGTAAAAATCACTTGGGTAACCTTGAAGAGACCCCTACTGAGTGTGACTAAATTTAGAGGATACAGTTTAGTTTTAGGCTTATGTCTCCAGCTCCTCTCACGGTAAGTTTCTGTTGCTCAGATAGTACTGATAACTTACCAAATAATCCTCACTGATAATTCCTGTTGAAACAGACATCAAATATTTATTCTAGAATTACTATTGGTAATCATCAAGTAGTTCAACAAAAAAATTATTAAAGCATTTCAGTTAGGGAGCCAGGTAACATCGGTTAAGGCCAGTACTGCATCTTCAAAGCAAAACCGTTTGATTTTACCTTATACCTGAGAGGCTCAATACCATCTCTTAGGTTACACAAGGTAATTTGGAGAGAAGTGATTCTGTACTTTGAATATGGAGTAGTTTACAAATGTTCTTTTTCTATTTGGCAATATTAACTAATATTATTTCCTTGTTACAAAGCCCCCCATTCCCTAAAAAAGTCTCTTATTTATTACACTGACCATTTATTCTGGATAAAGAACTTCCTTTAAATTTGAGCTATCTGCCATGGACTTATTATAATAGAAACACAGTCTGAGTGTGTCTTAGAGGGAGGTTAGTTGAAAAATCCCAAATCATTATCCATAAAAATTGTGGAAAAAAATATCTGATTAATTTTTTTTAATTTAAGATTGAGTCCTAGAAATTTGGAGCAAATAAAGGGGCAAGTAAACATTTTGATTAAATATAAAAAGAACTTATTGCATGAAGCTGACTATCAAATTCTGTAATGTGTAGCTTCTTAAAATAACTATTCTCGGTGTCTTTTCTGTGTGTGCAGCATGTATATTTGAAGTTATGTGAATGTTTAAATTTTTTTTTTATTTTTGCTTCAACAGTGTTTAGGGCTTTCAGATGCCTTATTCCAGTGTGAACAGAAAAAGTCCATATTTTATGTGGTTAATGCTTTGATGTGTCAAATAAGTAGTTTGTAGAAAGTGTTGGCACAATTTTAACTTTTTAGTGGCTTGTGACATAATATATATATGTACATATATCTTTATAACACTCTTGTGTTTAGTAGTGTAAATGTTCTGGGCAAGTTTTAATATTTCAAATGCCTTTGGATATTTCAGCAATAAAGACAACATGTTCTGCAATAGAATTTCTTACTCATCTACCTATTTTGACACTAAAATAGTTAATAACTGAGCACAAATTTCCTTTTAAAAATGTCATAGAAGCAGGGAAGAATAATAAATTTATGAATTGTGGTTCTGTTTATTTCTCTTTGGAGAAGACTAATCACTTAATGACGGTAACACTAGCCTCTTATTAGAATCAAGTTTTACATAATGTATATCCTATTTTGCAATTATAATGAGTATCAGTTGGGTTTAGTTTTGGTTATGGACACTAAAAGTTCCATCAAAGACCTTTGTGTTTTCTGCTAACTTATTTAGTGACATTAAGTGTTACGAGAACCACAATTTATTGATTCACTTATTCTTGTCCCTGTGAATTTTTAGTGATAAATACACTTGTACTACTGAGAAAAATATTTTGACACATCACATGTGCAAAGTAGAGAATGGGTAGTGTCAGTTGTAGATTTTGTATTTAAAATTTTGGGCTTACATATCCAATGGTGCAGATTTTGAAATTTGTAAGAACAAAATTTGTTTAAAAAAACAACTTGCTCTAGTTTTGTGACCTTGTGTACTTTTGAAATAAAATCCTGAAAGTAGTTCTCTGCCTCATGGTGTGGCTTTATTATGCCTTTTAAAAAATGTCCATGAAAGATTCAATATGTTATTCCTCCCTGCTTTCCTGCATAAAGGTTTCCTTTTTCCCCCATGCATCCTTTAAGCAGAAGGAATAAAGATTGCAGCAATCATACAACAATGAAAACATGTCAAACATATATTTCCCCAGTCCTGTGTATTTATATGACATGGTAAAATAATTGAGGTTGAAACCTCTAAAGTTCTATGATCGTTTCAGAATTTATAGTATAAACTCTTAAGTTTTTCATATGCATTAAAAATGTGCATGCCTTTATATATTAAATACACATCTGTCTTAGTCTGTTCCTGCTGCTATAACAAAATACCTTAGACTGGAGGATCAAGGCATTGGCAGATTTGGTGTCTGGCAAAGGCTTGCCCTCTGCTTCAAAGATGGTGCCTCATGCTGTGTGTGTCCTCACATAGCAGAAGGAAGAAAGAGAGCTTGCTTGAACCTTTTTTTATAAGGGCACTAATCTCATTCATGAAGGTGGAGCCTTCATGACTTGATTGCTTCCCAAACAGACCCCACCTTTTAATACTATGACATTGGGTATTAACCCTTTGCACTCGGATGTCGAGTGTGACTTGACACGGCTAGCAAAAATTATAGAGATTAAAATTACTCTTTGAATGTATCAATAATTTGAAATATTAAAAAATCCAAATAAGTTTGTATGAAAAGAAACTCTAGTTTTTTATTCTACTGCCATGCTTTGTAAAATCTGGGGTATTTAAAAAATTAAATCCTGAGTAGAATAAAGGGAATCGAGAAAAAAGCAAGCGAGTGCAAAGGGTTAAGATGTCAACATAAGAATTAGAAAGAGACACAAACATTCAGACCATAGCAATATCTTGTTATGGCTTATTTTCATTGACTGTAAATGTTGGTTTCATGAAAAACCAGGAATAGGGTATTAATGCTTCTGTAAGAAGACATGTTGAGGAATATTTTGTTTATACTAAGGTTTCTCAACCTTGACACTGTTAACATTTAGGGCTACAACTTTGTCCAACAGCTCAACAGGAATGTCCTGTACATTTTAGGATATTTAGCATCACGCCTTGCCCCTACCCACTAGATGCCCCCCTCTCTCCACCACCAAAGTTGTGACAATAAAAAATGTCTCCAAACATTGCTAAATGTCTCCGGGTAGTGGGAGGCAAATCACCTCTATTTGAGAACCATTGATTTTTATTAATGTGAATTTTCTACTCTGGATTAAACATGAACAGCACAGGATTTAGAGTCAGGTGTGCTTGAATACCACTTACTAATATTACTAGTTGCTTCACTTTGCTTCAGTTTCCTAGTGTTTAAAATGGGTATAAAAATACCTGCTTCACAGGGGATGTTGGAAAATTTGAAGGAAAATTACTATAATCTTGAAACATCTTTGTACTTATCCCTGATAGCTGGGATGCTAATAATGACACACAGACTTTCAAAGAAATGAGATTATCATAAACTATATGGGAAACTGAGAATAGTTTAATACATTTAATTTAGACCATATTTTAATCTTACAGCTTTAATGGCCAGATACTGTTTCTGGTTAATTAACAAATGGCAAAGCTGATTACATTGACACAGTATTGAGTATGAAGTAATTTGTCAATATGGCATAGTTTAAAGTATAATCGAATGTAATTTCAAGATGCAATAATGGCAACAGTGAAAATATCAGGAAGCTAGTCTTAGAAACTAAGTTCAGGTTTTTTTGCTGGTATGTCCAAAATACAAATCAAACATACTTTGTTGTTTGTCACTCAGATGATTTTTTAAATTTCGCTAAACATTTATAGGGGAAAAATATGGCTGCCTTAAAGTAATTGCACAAAAATAAGCTAGTAGGATCTCCTTGATGGTGGCTATTTAAATAAGAATTTCTAGAGCTAATGAAGAACCGAGAAATAAATTTCAGCCTAGTAACCAAGGACCAGATTCTTGCTCAGTATATTTCTTCTTTTCTGCTGAACTGTGAAAATTCTCTCTAATGGAAAATGAGAAGAGGTGGGAGAAAATATACAAAATTACAAAGTTTGAGATGATCAGTCCCCAAGAAAGTATTAGAAGCTATTTTGATTTTGACTTCTCCTTCCCTAAGTCATGCTACTACCCAGTCTTACTGGATCAATTGTCTTAAAATGTAAATATCATATTAAAAACCAGACCATCTGAACATGACATAAAGGCTTCTCATGGTCCATTATATTTCTCTGTGGTTTATTTACTCCACATCTCCAGATACACCTTTATGTGATAGCCATGCTGAACAGCTAAGGGGCTGTGGTTTTCTCTCTGTGTGAAAATGCCACTTCCTTAGCTAAGGAAGGGCCTGCCCTTATTTACCTGCCCAATGCATATTTGCCCTGCAAATATCTCCTTTGAGTCATTTTTCTTGATTCACAACTCAGATAGCTAAATTAGGGGTACTTCTGGGCCCTCCTCATTGCCAATACAGGTCTTTTATGGCATAAAGCGTTTTGCATTCTCTTTGCTTCACATGCTTTTTATACTTCTAGGAATCTGAAGGCAAGGTCATGAGAAAAAAGGGTGGTGAGTATGTGGAGCGAGGGAAAGGTGGCACTTAGCTGAGAAAGTTAACTTGCCATGCAGTGTCACAATCATAGCTCACTGCAACCTCGAACTCCTGGGCTCAAGTGATCCTCCCGCCTCAGCCTCGCGAGTAGTTGGGATGATAGGCGCACACCACCATGCCTGCTAATTAAAAAAAATTTTTTTTTTTTTTTTTTTTTGTAGAGCCAAGGTCTCTTTATGTTGCCTAGGCTAGTCTTGAACTCCTGGCTTTAAATGATCCTGCCTTGGACTCCCTAAAGCCCTCCTTAGAGATTCCCACTGAGTGAGTGGGTCTAGGGTGAAGTCAGTGACTCTCTTTTCTCTCCCAGATTGTTTCAAAAATTAATGAACTTTGGGAACCTCCAAATAGTTTAAAACCCTGTGGAGATGACTCATTTCCACACTAAGTCGCTAATGTTAAAATATTTTTTCTTGGGCTCCACAAACTTGCAGACATACGTGACTACACTTAGTGTGGCTAAAAATCATGCTTAAAAATTTTTGCCTAATTTTGGTATACTAACGGTATTTCTTGATATTAGAATTTAGGGAGACCTACCTACTTCGATACCTAAAACACCATTTCTTATAGATAATCAGTTTTCAAAAAAACCTGGAGTATTATATCAATTATTTTCAAGTCTTTTTAAATGACTCTTCTTCTGCAATAACCAGTCATTTACAAGTAATTTTTATGTGCGATTGTATTAGTTTGCAGGGGCTGCTGTAACAAATTGCCATAAACTAAGTGGCCTAATCAACAGAAATTTAGTCTCACTGTTCTGGAGGCTAGATGTTCAAAATCACGGTGTTGGCAGGGTTGGTTCCTTCTGAGGGCTGTGAGGGAAGGATCTGTTCCAGGCCTCTGTCTTTGATTTGTAAATGGCCATTTTCTCCATCTCTCTTCCCTCTATGTGTGTTTCCCCTCTGTGTCTAAATTTCCCCTTTTTATAAGGACACCAGTCATTTGATTAGGACCATGATCCCTAATTGCCTCCCCCTACCCCAGGAGTATACTCTCTTTATTTCAAATATAAGTGACTATAATTTGTTAACTTCACATCTGCTTGTCAAGTGAAAAAGTTGATGAAGTGGTTATGAATTTGTCTATTTAAATGACTCTTGCTGACAAGATGAAACAATACTTTTTGAGGGAATTAGAGCTTTAACAAATTTCTGTATTTTAAGTTATTCACAGGATGACTTTTGATGGACTTGAATAATTTTCTTTAGTTTTTTTTTAATATTCCAAAAAGGCAATGCATAAGGTATAGAGTGAAATCTAAGTAGCCTCACTCATATTTCCCAATTTGTCTCTACTTCCCCTTCAAAAGGCATAACTAGTTGCTTTTTAAAAATTATTTTCAGCATATTATGGGTGTGCAAATGGTTTGGTTGCATATATTGCCTTTACACCGCCCGAGTCAGAGCTACAATTGTGTCCAATCCCGACATCATGCACTGTATCCATTAGGTGTGAATTTGCCCATCCCCTTCCTGTCAACTAGTTGCTTCTTACATTTTATTAATTTCTGAATAGGTCATCTTCACAAAGCATAAAATTCAGAAGGTACAAGTACATACTGAAAAGCACAATTGCTTATTTATCCTAGAAAGGCTCTATACATATACAAGTACTTGTGTGTGTGTGTGGGGGGGTGGTTTATCATAAATATTTTTAAAAATTCATTGTGAATGGATTGGTCATGGGTTACATTTTTAGACAGGACTAGATGAAGTAACCATGGCAGAGAATGTAGAGAGATAGGCAGAGTTTGGAGTCCTGATCCTTCAAATATTTGGAAGTTAAGCTAAGGAATTCAGTTTTGAACATAATTGAGTTGGAGTTTATTATATATGCAAATGGAGATTTTGAATAGATAACAGACATGTGGAGTATGAGAGGGCAGGGCTGGAGATGGAAATGGCATCTGTGAGCATGTAAATGTTGGAGATTACCAAGTGATGTAGACAAAGACAAGTGACCAGACCCTGAACGCTACACTTGAATAAGAAGTAGAGAAATGAAAAAAACGTATTAGGGTTGATATTTGGGGTCCAATGCTGTCAGGCAGTGCGAAAGACAATATTCCTACCAACTTTAGATGAACTGCCTAATTCCATCTGCTGCTGCTCCTGTCAGGAAGGCTTTTTTGGTATTTTGAAGATGTACTCAATTTTAGAATTTCTAAATAAAAAAAAATGAGGGCATCGCTGCTTTGGGAGGGAGGAAAACGAGAAAAATACTCAACAGGGTTTCACTGATTGAACAATTTTAATTTGGTATAAATGTAGTAAGTATATACAGTGTGTGTGGGGTGGAGGGACCCCTGAAAACAATACTTCATGCAGGATAACACCATAAAGCAGCTTAGGAGACAGCCTGTC